CTGGTCACCTTATTATAGTCCCATGGGCAAGGCAAGACTGAGCCACATAACAGTCAGGCTGAGTAAGGTCAGCTAGGGATGGGGGTCAGAGAGGCAGGATGGAGAAAGAGGGAGGAAGCCTACTTTTCTTTTGCTTTGCTTATGCCTCTCAGAGAGTGGCCAGGATTCACAGCCTGTAAGAATGAGTGTTTCTATTAGTTGGCTTGTTTGTAATCTTGTGGGAGGTCCTCCCAAGGGGCAGAAGAGAGAGCAGTATGTGGGGTGTTGGCCTTGGTCATTGAAACCAGACTGGGCACTCTGGGAGGCCAGGCCCTGGGCACTGTCTCTGGTTCTGACCCTTCTGCTTTCTCCCTTCCAGACAAGTTCACTAAGGCCCACCCCAGCTAGCCCCAGCAGAGAAAACTGACCATATGCTCTGGGCCACAATCTTCCCTTGAGTATGAAACCACAGCCCAGGAAGCAAGAACTCTCTGTGCGTTTTTTAATAAACAACCCACTTCTACTTCCCCTCACCCTGCCCATATTTCCCTCTCAGTCTGTTCACTCCATTCTTCTCTTTTCACCTGATGGTTTCTTTTGCCATCTCTAGCTTTCAGGATTACTCATACTCTCCAAGCCCCAGACTGAGGTGCGCCCAAGGGGAGTGAAATCCACAGCACTGGGCCTGTCCCTGATCGTCTCCAGGCTCTGGCAAACAAGCACAGGCCCCTTAAGCCTTCCAGGGGAGCAAGCTGCAGCCCCCCATGCCACCAGGATGTGAGCACCACTCAGCAGCAATGATGTGCCTAGACATTAGAAAAACTGCTCTGACTCTCCAGCAGCCCCCTGGGTTTCTACCCTCTGAGGTGGGTGTTCAGGATATACATGCCCATGAAGGGACAGACAGGTTCAGAACCATTCATTCCCTGGCCACTTCTCTCACCTGCTTTTTCCCATATTGGGACCGGCCTGGGAGAAAAATCCTCAATGGAAACAGCCTAGACACATGCATGTACACCTCTCCGTGAGCTCTACAACCATAGTCCAACCCCTGCTGGGGATTGCTGACTGCGAGATGGACCTCAAGGGAGGGTGACTTTATGTCCCAGATTGGCCAGAATAATCCTGGCTTATGGCCCAGGTTAATTATGGCAGTGCCTCTTTCACTCTCAGACACGTTCTGGTTTGGATCATAAATTATTTCGTCACACTACCTCACATTGACGTCAGACTAAACACAAACACACACATGCCCCTCTGTGTTCTTGACAATCAAGGGGACAGCATCCATAGTCTCTAAGCAGTCTCTATGACTCCTCGCTGTGAGACTCCTGATATTATGATTATCTCTTGAATAGATCCTTTCTTTTCTGTCCTCAGTGCCAATAACCTATTTCAGACACAAATACAACAACCTACTATGGCTTAAGCCTCTCTCCAATCCACAGTTCTGCCAGTGATCTTCGTAACACAGATTGATAAGTGGAGGCTTCCACCATGTACAGACTGAAATCCGGATCCCTTCACGATCTGGGCCCAGACATTTTTCTTGCTTTATCTCTTGCCACCCTCTCTCTGCCCTCGGCTCTGGTCACACTAGGCAGACTGCTTCTTGTCCCATGAAAAGTTTACCCTCCTGCAATGCCTCCTTCTAGTCTGACCCATTCCTCTCTTTTCTGCCATTCTTATTTGACCTTCAATTCCTTCCTGGAACTGACCTCAGGAGTCATCTCCTAGAAAGCCTTTTCTGATTCACCCCTCCCATCAGAAGTAATCACTTCCTCCTCTGGGCTCGAAGAAGACTTTGTTTTTAACATTTACTGTGTTTGTCTCCTGGCATGTTGGCCACTGCACATACCACATGTGTGTCTCTCTCCCTTTGTTTATGTGATGAACCTCTGAGGTCAAGAATAGCATCTCTTGCAATGCTTGAAACCAGGGCCTGCTTTATGGAGGAGTTCACTATTCACGGGACTGGCTCGAATGAAATTGACAATCCACCTCAAATTTTTAACACCAAGTTGCCCAACATGTTCCCACTCATTCCTGGTGACACCAGGGCAGACTTTGGGACAGTTCACATCCCATAGCACTAGTTCCACACAGCGTCTCATGGGACGCATTCTACCAAAAAGAGTCACATGAACGGAATGCACCCCTCCTCCAGGGGGAGGGCAAGCTTTCCCTCTCCCAGACTCTCTCCCCGAGCCCCACCACTCTCTTCACCATTCTCTATGAGCCCTTTCCTCATTCTCAGTGCAGAAAGGATCTCACTCTCTGCAAGCCCCAGACTCATAATTTAGAACAACGAATCTAGTGTTTAATGAGATGTCACCTTTTGTACTGGGCTTACACTATGTTTGGCTTAATAGGTAGCTTCTTCAGGATGGGGAAAGATGAGGAACAACCACATTTGAATCCCAAGCTTTGCCCCTTTTCCACCAGGATCATCTGACCACACCCCTTCCTCTCTGGTTTAAAAGCCTTCCACATGGCTTCAGGACAGGAGAAACAACTCTGGGGCCCTTCAGCCTGGAATCTCTGGAGGCTAACAAGGACCTGTGTGCTGCAGTGGCCAATTTCTGCTCAGGAGCCCAAGGGCAGGCTCTGCCACTCACCCAGATCCCAGTGTGTACCAGAAAGCAGAACTACATCCTAGAGGACATGCAAACGGAGAGAGCCTCAGGCTTCATTCGCCTCATAAAATCCTCCTCTCAGGTTCTGTCTCCTTACCTCTAAAACCAGAGAAAACAGCAACAGGGGGCTGGGGGTGAGAAGGAGCGAGGTGGAAGAGGAGAACGATTAGGGGCATGACTACTGCCTCTTGCAACCTGACATCAGATCCTGAGCAATTAGGGCACGTACTCTGATTTCCTAAAGAAACTGAGCAACTCAGAGAGGAAGCCATGGGCCACGCTCCTACCAGAAGGCAGACAAGTCTCCCATTCCTAGGACTCATCTTTGTGGAGCCCCTTCTGCCTGTGCCTGCCCTCCCCTCTGGGGACAGCCCCAAATCGGAGGCCACCATCTCTACCACAGGAGCCTGCCCCTCCCGCCCCACCCCTCCTCCCCACCACCTTCCTGCCCACCCATTCGCCTGGGTCCGGGTGGCAGGAAGGGAGGTGCTGGGCACCGGCCGTGAAGAGCGAACCCCCCTCCTGCTTAGAGCTGTTCCGCCTGCGCCCAGGGCTGCGTCCACACAGGCCTCGTGCCAGGCCATGGACCCCACCGAGCCCTGGAGCCCCAGCCCCGGGGTGGCATTCTGGGACTACTCAGGGTCAGGGTTGGATACCCTGGAAGACCTGGAGCTGTGTCCGTCCTGGGACCTGCCCTATGGCTATGCCTACATCCCCGCGCTCTACCTGGCGGCCTTCGCGGTGGGCCTGCTGGGCAACGCTTTCGTGGTGTGGCTGCTGGCCGGGCGGCGCGGCCCGAGGCGGCTCGTGGACACCTTCGTGCTGCACCTGGCCGCCGCCGACCTGGGCTTCGTGCTCACGCTGCCGCTGTGGGCCGCGGCGGCGGCGCTGGGCGACCGCTGGCCGTTCGGCGAGGGCCTGTGCAAGCTGAGCAGCTTCGCGCTGGCCGGCACGCGCTGCGCAGGCGCGCTGCTGCTGGCGGGCATGAGCGTGGACCGCTACCTGGCCGTGGTGAAGCTGCTCGAGGCGCGCCTGCTGCGCACCCCGCGCTGCGCGCTGGCCACGTGCTGCGGCGTGTGGGCCGTGGCGGTCCTGGCCGGCCTGCCCTCCCTGTTCTACCGGGGGCTGCGGCCGCTCCCCGGGGGCGAGGGCAGCCAGTGCGGAGAGGAGCCCTCCGACGCCTTCCAGGGCCTCAGCTTGCTGCTGCTGCTGGTCACCTTCGCGCTGCCTCTGGGCGTCACCCTCTTCTGCTACTGCCGCATCTCTCACCGCCTGCGCCGGCCGCCGCACGTGGGCCGGGCCCGGAGGAACTCGCTGCGCATCATCTTCGCCATTGTGAGCACGTTCGTGGGCTCCTGGCTGCCCTTCAGCGCCCTGCGGGCCGTCTTCTACCTGGCGCGTCTGGGGTTGCTGCCGCTGCCCTGTCCGCTGCTGCTGGCGCTGCGCTGGGGCCTCACCATCGCCACCTGCCTGGCCTTCGTCAACAGCTGCGCCAACCCGGTCATCTACCTCCTGCTGGACCGCTCATTCCGAGCCCGGGCCTGGCGCGGGGCCTGTGGGCGCGCCGGCCGCCCAGCACCTCGGGTGAGCTCCTCGCTTTCCTGGGCCTCCTCGCTCTCCAGGGACGACAGCTCCGTATTCTGGGGCCGAGCCGCGGACGCCAGGTAACTGCGTCGGGCAGGTGGAGGGAGGGAGGTCCAGGGAAGGGGGCTGAGCTCCCCAGACGTGCCTGTCCTGCCTGCAGCTGGCTGCGCGCCCTACCGCATTCCCGGAGTCTGAGAGCTATTTGAACTCGGCCGAACCAGGCTGCTGAGACCTGTTCGCTCAGCCTGTTGGGCACCCAGACTAATTTTCTTCAGTCCATGAAAGAGCCCAGGAGATGGAGTAGACAGCAACCTGGAGGAGACACACAGGCTCACCATGCAGAGAGAACTTCTAACCCAGACTGCAAAATGCCGGTACCTTCTCTTTCCCCACAGTTACGAGGCCTTTGCCTTCTGAAAAATACCTTCCTCAAGCCAGACCCTCCAGCCTTCTCACTCTTCAGAAAATTCATGGGAATCGACAGCCCGTTTGTCCTCAATCATCTTTGTAGCTGCATTGACGATGTATTAGTCACCAATTCCAATTTTCACCTTCAAAGCTCGCCAAAGCAGTGGAAACCGGCCCTGAAGTGAGTGAACTACCCAGTTTGCTCTGCCTATTTCTCCAGAAGGAATGGACCTGCTCTGGTTGCATCTGGTGACTTTTCTCCCCGCTCCCATGAAGCTGCAGGACTTACCCTGAAAGTTGCTGTGGCTCTTCCATCTGGACAGGGAAGGTCCTAAAATCAGGAGAATTCAGATTCTCCATCATTCAGCCAGGAACCCCAGAATCTTCTATGTGAATTCATCCTTCTCAATAAACGCTTTTGCTAGCGCTAGCTTGACTGTGTTGACTTAAGCAATGGGAGTGAAATGAGTGTCAGGAGGTGGGCGGCCCACGGGATCAGACAGAACTCAACATGGTAGTTGAGGTTGACCTCAGGATGGTGAGCATTTGTGTGATGCAGGGAACCATGACAGCTAGCTGCCTGTGCAGGTGCAGGAATCCCACAGGAGGGCAGCAAATCATTTATTCTTATCTTTTAAGGACATTTCACATTTTGAAGGTTAAAGAAAGGAGAAGAAAGTTGCCAGGGTATCTGTCAGCCAGGGGTCACTTCAAAGAGGAAGATATATCTTGTTGATTTTTAAATAATGTACTGGGCCTTTTTTCCTACCCTTTTTGAGAACTTCCAGTAGAAATGTTTGAGATTAGCCATTTTCTGGCTCTGATTTATCCTTGAAGGTTTCTGGAAGGTTTGGAAATGCACTGTTTATACTTTTGATTTAGGAGGATTTGGCTGAAAGACAGTTCCTTTAGGACAGGGAAAGGGACTCAGGGACTCTGCCAGAGGATGCTGCAGGCTCTGGAGAAGTGCCACTCCAATCAGGGCCTCAGAGCTGGGGTGGGTCTGAAAACTGGCATGCTTTCTCAGGTTGCCTGGTCCCTCATCCCCCATCTAATACCACTGTATTTTTTCCAGCACCTGGAGCTGTTTGATTAGAGCAAGTTGAATATCACATCTTACCTTGACCCCTGCCTGTAGCTGCTCCTAGGTCAGTCTGTCAAAAAGTGCATCTATGCATGTTCCTCCCAAGAAAGGCAAGGCTTGCGAACAGTGCAGTCACCTGTGCCAACAGGATACATTTCCTGTACTTTATTTTATTTATTTATTTTTTGAGACAGAGTCTCAAGCTGTCACCCTGGGTAGAGTGCTGTGGCATCATAGCTCACAGCAAACTCCAACTCTTGGGCTCAAGCGATCATCTTGCTTCAGTTTTTCTATTTTAGTAGAGATGGGGTTTGGCTTTTGCTTGGGCTGGTCTCAAACTTGTGAGTTCAAGCAATCCTCCCACCTCAGCCTCACAGAGGTGGATTACAGGCGTGAGCCACTGTGCCCAGCCAGTTTTCAGACACTTTAGTGTTGGAGATCTCAGTTATATCTTGTCCTTTCCTATCTCACATGACTGTCTGAAGCAAGAAATTATTCTGTTTTTAAACTCCCCAGAGTTTCCAGGATAGGGAGGCTGACTCTCATCTGGGTTTGTGTGGCAACATCTCAGCTTACAGAGGAGGAAGCTCTTCTCTAGGCAGATGGGATTGAGTTCCTCCCTCTAGCCCTGCAGGTTGCTTCTGACTTACTGACCAGTTGAACTCCCAGAAAACAGGAGGTAGGCTTCTTGGCTTCTTCATGCCCTGGTAGGTTTTCATCTCCCTTCTTGCAGTCATCATGGGAACTGGGCATTTCCCTCCTGCTGTGGAACTATGCTCAATGTGGAAAGAAAGTTCCCTCCCTTTGTTTAAGTACATCACTGAATTGGTATGTCATGTGTCCTTTGGAAAGTTTCTGTAACATTCAGACAAGAATGAAAGAGCTTCCCCTCTTCCCCCTGGGGAAGAAAAGGCATAGATTCAGCAAGGAGATTAAATGAGCATTCCCTAATATGGTGCTGGAGGGAGTATAAACAGCAGATTCTTTTAAAAAGCAAGTTGTCAATCTACATCAAGGGCTTTAGAACTTTTCATGTCCATCCCTCTGAATTGTTCACACATACCCTTTGACCTTGTAATTGCATTTCTGCCACTCTCTTCCAATGAAATAATACTAAATTTAAAAAGTTTAAGGCACTGAGTTATAGACGTTTTTAAAGATTGGGGGGAGGGGGGTTGAGACAGAGTCTTATTCTGTCACCATAGGTAGAATGCTGTGGCATCAGCCTAACTCACAACAACCTCAACAGGAGGAACGCTTCAACCTTGGGTTCAAGCAATCTTCCTCTTTTAGCCTCCCGAGCAGCTGGGTCTACTGGTGCCCACCACAACACCCACCAGCTACCTTTGTTTTTTCTTTATTTTTAGTAGAGACAGGGTCTCACTCTTGCTCAGGCCAGTCTCAAACTCCTGAGCTCAAGGGATCTTCCCATCTTGGCTTCC